ATTTACCCAGAAGCACCCCAAACAAAAGAAAAAAAAAACAAAACGCAGTCATTGTTTTCAATTGCTTCATATAATTTTGATAGCTACTTTAATACAACCAGCGTGAAATGAAAGTTACCAAGTGCTCAGATAAATCAAGCTACGAACACAATTAAAAAAAAAAAAAGCAACTAAAGGGATAGAATTATCTACTTCAACTATCTCCCATACAAAGATTATCTAGATGAATAGCTGTCTTCCTCTTCATTCTGTTATCTTAAGCATAAGCATTCTGGTTTGTCAACCTAAAGTCTGAGGTTTTCATGCATGATTTTTCTATAATAGAAAAATACTAAGAGCAAACAAAATAAGTAAAAAGACAAACAAGTTTTAAAAAAACTGAAAAACAAAATAGAACTAAAGAAAACATCTGATGTGCTAAATAAACCGTAGCTTTTATTTTCCTTTGAATAGAATACCTCTGGCACATTGAAACTTTAGACTTAATCATCCTGCCAAGGCTGTGCATTTCTTACTATCCACCATGAAAATACCAGATCATAGAGTTTTACAATATGATCTGCAGAATATTTTATTTGCCTAAAATTCAGCAAGTTATACTTTCGTCTGTGCTGAAAAATCACAATTTACATTTTTCTTTAGATAAGCTAGGAGTGCCTCATTACAAGTTGTGTCATGTAGATCAGGATCTTTCTAGCAGTCAAAGAAAGAAAAGGCTGAGAGACCTAGAGCTACTTCTTTCTTGCTTTAACTTCTGAAGTTTTGAACTTATTTTTCTCCAAAACATGCAATAATATTTAACATTTAACATTTAATATCCCTAGTGATAGAAAGGAATTAGATTAGAATTAGATTTCAACAAAATTAAGACGTTTGAAGCAAGTTAACTTTATTAAAAAATTCAAATTCATCTAGGTTGGAACTACCCTTAAGGCTACAGATACTGGCTTCTTGTCAGAGAAATGATGTTTTTAGTCTGTAATCACAGTATTAATGGACATTTTGTGATTCAGTAATGTTAAAATTTAGAAAAAATAAAATTAAAAGAATATTTTTTAAAAGGTCATTCTATTATATTTTGTGAAAATAATATTAAGAATGCAACCCCCCCCACAAAACTCTACCTTCTAAAGTTGAGATCAGAACATGCTATTAGAACACGAAATTAAATTAAAACCAAAAGAACGAAATGCAGGGAGGAAAAGAGAAGGAAATGAGGACTTTGAAAATCTATTTCTTCAATAAGTGTTTATGGAGTTCCTACCGTGTGTTAAGCTCTGATGATTTAAAAGATGAATAAAATACCCTTGGAAGCTCAAACTTTGTGTGGGGCTGTCAGATACAAATTATTATAATACAAAATGATAAGGATGTATTAGTTACTGTAGAAACACTGAATTCCTAATTCCTACTTCTGTGCTGGTGACATCCGAACCAGGACTTGAAAGAAAAATCTGTACTTTCTTTCAAGGAGAGAGACAGGTCATTGCAGGCAGAGCAAATCAGATATCTGTGAGATATGCAAAAGGGCAAAGCATATTTGGACTGTGAGCCTGGAGTTCCGGAAGAAGGAAGAAAGATAAACGTAGGTAATAAAAAGTAAGCTTTACACACGCAACTTTTAGAAAATCACCATTTACTGGAAAAAGGATAAGAAAACTCTTGTCTGGCACTGTGAGGCTGAATTGGTATTTTTAAATGGTTTAACCCATGTCCCGCTGGAAAATGCTTTCTCACTCCACCTTTTATACATCACCACTGTCTAAGAGGCTCTGAGAAAAGCAGAATATAACATAATGACATGAGGCAGACTAACTGGGTTTTAAATCCTAGCTCAGTCAGATTAACTGTGTATCTTTAGGCAACTTAACCTCTCATGCCTCATTTTTAAAATGTAAAAAAAAAGGTTAAAATGTAAATAATACTGTAATTAGCTGAATCTAAGACCACTGATTATAAAATACACCATTATTTTAGATAACAGTAGGAAAAAATGTTATCAATTAAACTTTGACATGCAATCAAAGTTTTAAAAACTCATCTTGATGACAGAGATACTAAAAAAGGTGGGGGAAAGAAGAGGGGAGGATGAAATCTGGTAATTGTATCTACCTCATTGACTGGTTGTAAAGACAAAATGAGTTAAAAGATGTAAAACCTTTAGTAGAAGAGCACCCGGCATATAATAAGTGCTCAATGATAGCATGTAGTTTTGCCAAGCCTTACTTCCTGTAGTGTGTAATGTTTTACTTTCTGTAGTTCGTAAAGCAAGAGATACTGAATATGTGTATTCCAACTGCATTCAGTCTACCTTGCCTGAGGCAAACTCATAAGCATGCATTGAAGATTTTAATATATAGCCTAAACCTCTATATCTAATATAAGGTCCTTTCTTATTCTGAAGATTTATGATACTATGATTCAAGCGTATGGTTATCCTTGTGTGAAAGGCACTGCATCTGACTCAGTTTCACACTGCCAAAGCATGAGGTTGGCTAAAAAGTGCCTGGTAAGATCGTTATTTTCCCCAAACTGTCTCTGGCTCAAGTTCTTGACATTCAGTATGGGCATGTACACACACCAGGTGTACTGCTTCACACTCAAGACACTAAAGCACCTATGAAAGCTGATGACTAGCTTCTGGAGGAGGCTTTATAAACAATCCCAGATTGCTACACTGACTCATAAGTTTCCATCTGACATTCTATTTTCCCTGCTAATGAGAGAACTTGAAAGGATGAAACATATAATCTAAATACAATAATTAGGGTCCAAGCTTATCAAAAGATAAAAGCACAGTTTTAAAAAGGGAGGTGAGGGGCACTAGATATTTACATTTAGGACCATAGCATCACAGTTATAAAATTTATCTCCACTACCACATAAATAAAATTGAGTTAGATTACTGTCGTCTTATACCAAAATAGCATAAAATGATAGCAGTCAGAAAATTTTATTTAAAATTACCACAAATTAATGCATCAAATTGCTAGTTTTATTTTGTGTATATAAGTGTTGGACTTGTTACAGCAACTGCAGATGAAACAAAGTCTTACCAGGTCATGTGGCGGTGATCTATAGGAGGCTGGAGGAGAAAGGCCAAAAGGGTATAAATAATTTATCTTTTTCAATCGATTTAGTGTATTTATATAAAGGGCTATTCGTCCAGTATGGTACTAGAGTATAAGAATTTTAATTCTCAAGCACTGCAGAAACAAAACAGCAGAATTGATCAAAATGTCCTTCACTTTGAAAGATTCCCTAAAATGAGAAGAGTTCAGATTCCAGTGGCCTCTTTACTGGATATTTTGCCAAAGCAGGTGTGAAGTTAAACTGGAAATGCGTTAAATGCGCACCTGTTACACATTACATCTTGACCAATTAATCTCACAATCACCAAGAGCTTTCCAGATAATGGCTTCGATAATACTAAGAACCACAAATAAAAGATCCTATCGTTATTAATTTCCCTCAGCCTGTCAAACTCTAACCTAGTAGCATTTTTACAGAGAAAATGAAAAAAAAAATCAATCAACAAGGACAAGTAAATGCCCCTTATGACTGAAGAATAATTCGTTCTGAAACAAGGAGGTCGTATTTCCTTTTCCTCTTTACACCAGTCTCAAAACCCACACCGAAGACCTCCTCTCAAACTGCTTCCAACTTGTTTTCATAGCCCAACTCAACTCCTGTCAACCTGTAACTTCTTTTCAAATATCTGCCCCAGTGGCTTTACTCTGTAAAAAGTGTGCAACCAGAACGCTTTAAACGTTTCTGAATCACAAAGCCTGGGTGACACCTCCTCCACTTGGCCAAGAGCATCTTTTGCCAGCTGTCACCCGGCGGCAAAGGAAAATGGGGCGGCCCATGCCGCTGTCAAACAGCTTGGCCCCGCTGTTCCAGGGCAGAGGCCGGATAAAACAAAAGCTAAAGAGCTGATCCCCTAGGGCGCAGAATGGGTGACCCTACTTGGGGCGGAGGTGCCCCATTGCAGGGCGGCCTTGGCCTTCACGCGCCCGGGGGTGGCCCCGGAGGGCCGCCTGCACGCCTCCTGCACGCGAGCCCCGGGCCTGGCGCGTCTACCCCGGCGCAACCCGCGCAGGAGCCGGGACCCCAGCAGCCACTGGGCCAGGCCCGGGTAAGCGCCCCCGTCCGCAGCGCAGGCTGCTCGTGGGGCGCAGGACCATGGGCTCTCTACCCGTGGCCGCCTGTACTGGGGTCCGCTCGGTCGGTCGGGGGCGCCTGGCCCGCCGCCCGGGCCACCTGGGGGCACCTCCTCCCCCGCGGGCTGGGCGCGCCGGCGGGCGGCCGCGTGAGCGTGGGCGTGTGTCGGGCGAGGGGGGCTGCCTCCAGCCTCCGCGTCGCCTCCTCCCCCAGCCGGCCCGGACAGGGGGAGGGCCCGCTCACCTCGGTAGCGGCGGGAGGCGAGGTGGCACAGTGCGAGCAGCAGCACGGCCACCAGCGCCAGCACCTTGGCGCTCCTCACGCTGAAGTAGTGGTTGATCTCCCGCTTGCCCAGGTTGTAGGCCAGAGCCGCCATCTTGGTTCCTCCATGACAACAGCGCGCGGCGGAGCGGGGAAGGGGCGCCGCACAGGGGCAGCACTGGAGCTGCCGCCGCCACAGCAGCCAGGCGAGGAGCGGCCGCCAGTCCCCGCGGCCGCCACCCGCGCCGCCCGCCGGGGAGCCTGACCCCGCGGTGCCCCCGGCCTCTACCTGCCCTTCCTCGGCCGCGACCGCTTCAGCGGCCTCCCCCCAGCCCCGCCGCCGCTGCTCCGCCGTGCCGTTTCCCCAGGCGCCCTGGACGCCTGTCTCCTCCCCTTCCTCCTCCTCCCCTTTAGCCTCCTGTCTTAATAGCGGCTGCGCCTGCGAGGGGTGTCCGGATACCGGGTGCTCCGGGGTCACGGGCCCCAGACGGACCTCCGGGGTCACCGGGTCACGGGCGGCGGCAGGCGGCGGCAGTAGCGGCAGAGACATGGGGATGTAAGGAGAGGGGAGCAGGGTTCCACCCCGACCCGAGCGCGAGCCTGGGGCTTCAATTAGCTTACTGGCCGCTACCTGAGCCCAGGTGGGGGCAATATAAGTACTGTTCCGGAGGACAAGTACACATCACTCCACTGCCTCCTTCCGCAACACACCTTTTCGTGAACTTTCTACTTCCCGAACCTGCCCAGCAGGATGCGAAGGCCACCCCAATGTCACCGGGGCTTATTGTCAGGCTATCTGGTCAGTCTGGCTGCCCCCCAGGCTTGCCAAGTGTAGAGACTGCTGGTAGCCTTAGCACCCAACCCACGGGTAAGACCAGTCTTAACTCTTAACTCGTTGCTTTGAAGCCCATTTCTCTTGCAACTTGAAAAAAGTCCTCGGTTTGCCCAGTTCCAGTGGGTGAAACTCTACCAAAGTACAGAGTAGAAGGTACAAAGAGTACAGAGTAGAAGCTTAGCTTAGTGTAGGTGTTGGTGAGAAAAGAACCCCACTCTTAATTTTTGTTTACACAAGGGTTGGCTAGGATGGGCCAAACATGAAAAAGCGTCTCAGGATAGTCATTCCTGCTCCCGAAGTTGGTTAATGTTCCGTGGTTTTCAAAACAGGCAGCACACCTTTGCCTTGGTTAAGAGCTTGTTATTCCCTCATGTTTTGTTTTCTCCTTTTGGTTTCTCCCTTGCTGCCTTCCAGGTGGGAATGGTTATTTACATTGCTTCCCTTTCTACTTGTTTAGAGTGAGTTATTGATTAGTTAGGGTGTTTTCAGGTGTTCTTTGCAACTTTCCCATTTAGCCATTCCTGAACTTGTGTTTATAGGCCCCTCTTAAAATGATAGAATGTTAGATATGAAGGGACTGTACAGATCTTGTCATCCCAATTTTTTCATCTAAGGACTCTTTTTATTATGTTTTTATCCGTGGACCCCATATCTTGAAAGATTTTGTCACTTAAATGAAATCACATACATCACTGTCATGGATGTAATGCTAATAAGCAATAAAGCTAAATAAGTGTACAAACACTAGGCACTGTTCCTTGGAAATGGTCGCTTAATTTTGGCTGTCATTCTTCTGATCCAAGGTTCCACATGCTGGAAGAATTAAATCTGATATTGTAAAAAACAGATAAATAACTCTGCTAACAGTATATGGTCTATCAATCACATCCTAGAAATTTCTATGATGTCATCAACAGCAAATTAGAATTTCTGATTAGCGTACGATAACCAATGTTAGCCTACAGGGTTGGTTTAATGCCTGCCAAAAGTAAAGAAACTTGACATTTTATTTAATTGGAATGTCCAGAAGGCTTTCTGAAATGTTGTAAATAGCTTGTGGACCTCCTTCCTTCCCACTAGTTTAAAGCTAATCCCTCTCCTCTGCTCTGAATCTCTTTCTGTCCCCCTTTCTTGGGGGTGTTGATGACTCCATCAGTTATCCCCATGTCAATCATCCTCTCTCTGTGTCTTCCTTAAACTTTCCTTTCTCTTGGATGTTTCCCTTCCACCAATAATTTTATCTTGTTAGTGAAGCTCATCCATGGACTGTGTTTCTGTGTGTTTACCTCTCCATCTCTTTCCTTCTCTGACAAGTTCTAGAAAGAATAGTGTTGTCTTTTCAGCCTTCACTTGTTCCACTTCTATTCTCCCTTCTAAATAACTCTCAAATCTGTTGCCTCCTCTCCATTCCCTGGTTGTTGCCTTGGTGAAGGCATGATTTCTTGCCTGAATTTTTTACCCCTTAAAATCATCTTCCTCAGGTTTGGCTCAAAAATTCAATCTTACAGCTCCCTGCCATTCTCTAACCAGACGGAACTTTCTTAAACTCAAATGTGATGATGCTAAAAACTAGTTAGTGGTTCCATGTTTATTTGTCTATCCCTAAACCGTCCAGAATGTTAACTAATGCTCAGCAGGTTACGTCAACCCTAATAATCTGAGAAAAAGAGAAACCATTTTATAGGAAGTCTTTCAACCATGCATTACTTAAAGCAAAACAAAAACAGACAAAACAAACAAAAAAACCTGACTACACCTTATTCCTTCCCTTCTTCTTCTTTTTTTTTATTAACCAAACATCTATTTCCTATTGTACTACAGGAGGTCATGGGGATAAAGAAGACAGGAAAAAGGACTGAAAAGGACCAGCCAGCACAATAGGAGGAGCTCAGTTTTGAGGTGAGAATCTTTTGGTATAAACTGTTCCTGCTCCACCGTGTCCATTTCATTACTGTTTATACTGATGGGATTTTAAAATTTGGGTATAACTGACATATAACATTACATCAATTTCAGGTGTACAGTGTGATTTGATATTTGTATATATTGCAAAATGATCACCACAGTAACTCTAGTTAACATTGGTCACCATGCATATATACCTAGTTACAGAATTTTTTTTATGATGAGAACTTTTAAAATCTACTCTCTTAGCAGCTTTTGAATAAGCAATACAGTATAATTAACTATAGTTCATTTCTGACTTGAAAAATTCTTCCTCTTCTTTCCCAAAGCTGTCTCTTTCATCTGTGTCCTTGATTGTGTCAGTAAAATTTCATTTGAGAACCTGGTATCATAAGTTTCCCTTCTTTATTTCTACCTTCGATTTCTCCCTCTTCACTGTTTGCCCAACACGTAAGCTCAAATGCTTCCTATTTAAAGCACCTTCCTTAATTCACCACACAATCTGTCTTCTCCTTTAACTATCAGACTTCTTGGAGGAACAGTCTATGGTTACTGTTCCGATTTTTTTTGGTTACTTATTGGTTCTTTAAATACTTGAAAACTGACTTCTGCTCTTATTCCATTACCTAAACCACTGTTTCAAATGTCAACCACATCCTAAATTACCATATCCAATGTCTTTATCTTAGCTTTATCAACTTCATGACTGTGCAGCATTGTTGACATATTTGCTTTCTTAAAATCTTCTCTTTTGACTTCCATACCACTACACCCTCTGGCTCTCTTTTTTTCTTTCCCATGCATCTCCAAGAAGAGTCAGTCCTCTTGCTTTTTCAAACCCTTATATGAAAGTGTTTGCCTGCTTTTCTTCTTGGGAAACCTACACTACAGCTACCACACTGCATCCATGCATGTAACCTGGATTCCTGTTAAGTGCTCCAGACCTCTTTCACGTACCTCAGAAACTGCTTCATTGAGTGTCTTGTGGTACCTCACACTCAGTGTGTTGGAAACCAGTTTTATTTTCCTTCCAAAACCATTCATCTTGTTATGTTTACCATTTCATTCCTTGCCACCACTATCCTTCAAGTCATTTCTACTACTCTGACTCATCTTCTTTCTCCTCTGCCATATCTAAAGTATGGGTTTCAGTGGGGAGGTGTGTTCATAAGGTAAGCCAGTGGATAGTGAGAACAAATTACCAAAGCTTCTATTTATAGTTAATTCCTGTTAAAAAATGATTAAAGAAGACATTTTAGGTGATACAAACTTTATTTAACACTTCATGAAGTGGATAGTCTCCTTTCAGAGAACAGTAAAATGGGGTGGAAGCTTTTATAGGGTAAAGAATAAAGAAAAAGGAAGAGAAAAATAGAAAATATCTGGTTGGCTGAGGCCACATAGTCATCCTTGTTTGGGATGAGAAGAAACAAGGAAATAAGGATAGAGCTTAGAGTTGGCTTGCTGTTTGGGGGTTGGCTGACTGGATATACTGCATTTCTGCTCAAGCAGAGCATTTATAGAGATATGAAAGTTTTCTAAGTTTTGGTTTGCTGACATGGCATGACTAAGCAGGAGCAGATCCATCATGAGCCCAGCAAGTTACTTCAGCATTCCTAGATACAATAAAATAAGGCTTCATTAATATTTAATATAAGGACCTCCCCTGGTACTCTGACTTGGTCTATATGTAGAGTCATGTCAAGTGCACTTGAAGAGGAATTCTGAGGGGAGAGTGGGAATTCACACATGGGGGAGAGAGATGAACAAGAGCTCCCTTATTTGTTGACTTTCAGCACACTGTGCCTATGAGCCTATCAAATGGATTCACAGATTGTATTATCTACTCTTACTTCAACTCACAAAATGGAAAGTGGCTTTAAAAATCCCCATGGGGGATGTGAATTGAAGATTTTCTAACCATATAAGCACTATCAAACAAGAAGAATATACAGCATGGAATCTTCTCCTAAAATAAACTCTTCATCAGCTGCATGGTTAAAAAAAAGAAGTGTGTGTATATATCATAATATATACCTGACACAGATTATATGCAGATTATATAACATACAAATATCATCCCTGACATACATATATGAACAACGTAAATCTGTAATAAATCAGGAAAAATTACGAAATTATCGAGATTAGTTGAAATAAGAATTTACATCCACTCATTGTAAACTATGGATCTTGCTTGTAAATGTATAGTGCTTTGAGATGAGAGTTACTACAGATATGAAGCCATCAAAATTAACAAGCCATTTATAAATTAAGCATCTGAACATGAATTAAACCTCTCTCTTTGAGAGAAAAAAATTTGTGAATATGTATGACTGTTTCAGATTACATGGATTAGTTCATTGGTAGAGCAGTGCATATTTTATAACTAAATAAATATGCTCTAATTTTTAACTGATATGAATGCACAGTCAAAAGCCTAGAATCACTTAGTGAATAACTGTATTCTGTTCGTTAACTCTTTCCTCAAAACTCTTTCCTTCTGCCCAGAATGCTCTGGTTTAGGCTCCAACCTGATCATTGCAACACATTTCTACTGGCCTCCTTACCTTTAACTTCTCACTTTTTCAATCCCTTATTAACCAATTGCCTCTAGAATTATTTGTCTAAGGCTTTATTTGATCTTATCATTTCCCTGCTTGAAAACTTTGGTGGTTCTCTACTGCAACAAAATGAATTCCCAGCCTCTTAAAACGTGTAAGGTTGTCTGTGATTTGGCCTAAGTCTCCATTCCTTCTCTTTAGTTCTCATTTTATCCAACCATGCTAGAGTACAAGCCAGGAACGTTATATATCTGTTGCTTTTTTTCTTACTATTCCCTTAGCTTGAATACTTTTCCCCCTGTACCTCATATGCTACTTATTTAAAATCTTTCTTCTTTTTTCCCCCCTCCAGCCTTAATAAGGTATAATTGACAAATAAATTGTTTATAGTGTACATCGTGATGATTTTTCACATATACCCATACTTTGTGAAATGGTTACCACGATCAGAAAAACTTTCTCCTTTAAAGACCTGATACATTTTGCCTCTTCCATGAACTAAGCCCCATGGCTCCTTGTGGGAATGTAACTCTTTCCCTCCTCTGATTTGTCACGGTACTTTGTTTCTGTCTATGCTAAGTATGCCTTCAACACAAGGCAGCACCCAATCAGAACAGATACCTTCCTTCCTTGTGCATATTGTGTGTATTGGGAAACTATCAGTTCTTTTGGGACATATCCCACTGTGCCTTGTAATCTACTCAGTTATTATGTTTATCTTCCTCTTCTTCATTCCTCTCCCTCCAGATTTTATGCATTGGGGCACAGGGAATTAATATTTTTTGTATTATTTGTAGGGAAAACTTGTGAAAGACTTAGAAATAGACCAAGGTATTATGGTTGTCTTCAGTGGGAAACTGGGCATTGTCCAGATTATCAGATTCTATCGGGTCTCTGAATCTTTTATTGTCTTTGAGTTATTTTACATTGCTGTAAGTTATATAATACTTATAGTAATGCAAATGATTCTTGTCCATAGAAATGCAAATTGTATCTCATTGGGATTCAGTTGATTATTGCTCTATGGATACTGAGCAGTTTTGAAGTTTTACATTTGTTAAGCAAATTTATTTCACCATTCCCAATGCCCATATATATGTGATTCTTTGAATTCTCCTTTGAACCAATTGTAATATCTTTCTGGTTCCCTCATTAATTAATGAATTAAATAAAAGCTTTGACACATGTTCATTTTATATCTGTATGAAAGTCATGCCATATACTCTTCTAAAAATTATCTTTTAATACATGAATATGCCTTGAACTGAATAAATATTAATATTTCTTAGGTTCAGATTAAAGATCATTTAATGAAAAACACTGGAGAAAATTGAGACACTTTTCTTCCTAGAATTTTTAAGATTGTGGGATAGAGAAATATTTTCCAAAGTGAATTTGACTTGTTTGAACAAGTGAACAGTTTCCTCTACAAGACTGAAAAAACTTGTTTTTATTACCATGAATTTGAATATTGGCCTTTGGATTTTTTGATCAAGTATACCCAAAACAAAACAAAACAAAACCCAAATATCTGATTTGTATGTACTCAAATGTCAAAAAAACTGATACAAAAGAGTAAGAAATTATAAAGTATTACTCAGTTATTTTATTATATGCTTTTAGTTTAGTTTTTTTTTTTTAATCTGGAAGATTTCACCTTAAAACATGATACAGAAATCTCAATAATCATTTGGAAGTTGTATAAAGTAAAAGTTTATACATGATATTATAGTCTTCAGTATAAGAAACACATCCTGAATTCACAGTCTGTTCACACCTGTCCTTCTTGTCTTCAGATTGGGAAACACTTGGGAGTCAACCTTAGGTCTCTGGTCCTTTCTGTCTAAATTCTCTGCTTATCCCAATTGTATTCTGCTTCTCCCACCTTTTCAGCTTCTCTTCTATCTCCTTTCCTTCTGCTACCAATTGTAGTTTTTCCCAAGTATCTGTACTTTTGAGAAAGCTCTTCACTCCCTACCCTCATTCACTTTACTGTTTGGACAAAGGTGAAAGCAGAAGAGATGGAGAAAAAAGTGGACAGATTAGAGACAGATTTTAGTAATAAAATGGACAGAATATGCTGATGGAGTTGCATGTGAGAAGATAAGGGAGAAGGAGAATCAAGGGTGACTTCTGTTTCTGGCTTGAGCAACTGGTGGCTTCAGGGACCGCTTACTGACATGGGAAAGACTGGAGTGGGGGTAAAGCTTGGGAAAGATTATCCTAACAGTTCTTCAGTTTCTTCTTGTTTACATCAAAATATGTTTAAAAATTAAAGCCCAGACAATCTAATACCTATTTAATTTTCACATGTGAAATTCTGCCCCACCCTGCCACCCTCAGTACCCTTTCTCCAAGACAGAAAAATGCATCTTCCACTTTATTCCCAAATTACACGGGTTTTTTTTCAGGTGAAATCAACATTTCCTA